AATAACGATCCAGTTCGTTTTAAATACTAAACATGAATTTTTGATTCCATATATTTAGTGATATACATGTTGCAGTAAATTCAGGTCTCATACGCTGGGATGTACATTTTACATCGATTTATAGTGCTATTTACGGTGTAATGTATTGCCGATCCACTGAAACAGTGCACTGTACACACGCGAAATAAATATCATAAATGTAAATGAAATTGGCGGGAAAGATATTTGTTCTCTCGTGTAATGTGCCTTTTCACATGACGATGGAAGAAAAGAATCTCTGAAGTTTGCAATAAGATTTCGCTGACAGTTGAGGGAGTAGCGGAAAGGACGTAATAAAATCAATCTTTTATCTCGATATTTATTATTAAACTATTTCATTGTTTGTTTACGTTTGTCGTTTAATTGTAAGAGAATTGCCAGTTATGAGAATGCAGCGTTCAACTGAGCGTGAATCGTTTCGCGAAATATATCGGGAGGGCGATAAATTCTTGAACGTGAGGGCAATACGTTTAAAAGGAACTAACGTTCCTGCGCGATAAACTTTTTTCCACCGCAGCGTTGAGAAAAACATGAGGCTTAAAGTACATGTGCTGGTACATGTGCCACAACATCATGTTCGCTCGGGTCAGCTATCCGTTTCCATTGCCGTGTACATAGCCGAGCGTTTTCAAAAATTTAAGTCTCAGTGTTCTTTGGTATATGCTGAGCGCAACGCGCTGGTATCCGAAACTTCAATGTTTTACGAGCACTCCGCGTTTACGTACGCTCCGGCGTACGATCAAACATAGAAAAACTGAGTTTCGTTGCCACAAAAATTTTCATTCGTTCATAAAATATTTATCCTCTGCCTCTAGATTCTGGCAATGCTTTGTTACTCGTATGGCCTGTGTAGAACACCAACGGGAAGGCAGATGTTTTATTCACAAATTCGCGAGAAATCGTTTCGCGTTCTTCCATCGAATCTGACGTAATTCCAAAAATATCACGTTTGCGTGTAGTAACGCTTTATTTATTTATTTCTTTAATATTTTCATTTGCAACAACGTAGAAGATGAACATTACATATATTTTACCTTCCTTCGACACTCGTTAAAAAAATTGCTTCAATTGCTATAGATATATGCTTGCAATTCTTCGTGTCAATTTCATGCAATTCTAATTCAACCTTGTAACATTAAACGTCGTTTCATTCGCTGGAACGAAAATGAGGTTTGAAACATGAATTATCGAAGAATGCAGCAGGGTTAATGTGCTGCTGCGTAATTCATAAGATGATGGATTTTCTTTGTCGCGATGAGTAATTTTCGTCTTCCACGCTAATTGTTACAATTACTACTCGATTCTATATGAAAGAAAAATTTTTCAGTTTTACAGATTTCAACTTTTACTTCTGGTAAAATTGATCCCAACTTTGACTATTCGTTTTTATTATTAATAATTAATGATGACAATGATAGTAATTAATTTCTGTGACGAATAACTGGAAAAATAAGTTTTCGCACAGTCCGTCGAAAAACATGTTCTTTAAATCGTTTGTCGTAATAATCGATGCGATTCTTATCGAAACGAAATAAAGCATGAAATTTTAATGAATCACGACTAAGATCTTGATTTGAATAAAGCCTGCCACAGTTCGAGTAATTTTAATTGGACAGCTGTGCATATTTACCAGCAAATAGAACAGCTCGAGATCCACTGTTTCGCGAGGCACAGGTCATAGGTCAATTTTCTAACGTTCTTTTCTGAAATGCATTCTCTCTCGAAACATACGTACGTACACAAATATTTAGAGAGGAAACTTTCTCCAAACTTCAGTCAAGCTTATTCCATTGTTTTCTAGTCTTTTCAAAATGTAGCTGAAAGTTAATTTCACATAGTGTTTCTGAAATGTTGCGATTATGCCCTGGTCTAATGGTTGTACAAGGCTAGTCGCACAAAAAAAAAAAAAATCGCACAAAAACAGGTTTGACTGTACTTTTTCGTCTTCGTATTCCAAATCTGTTTGATTCCACTCTTCCAAATTTAAGTCAGCGCTGTGCGGATGGCTTTTTTACGATCTTGGAAGTAAGTCTTTTAAAATGGATGCTCAATGAGTCCCGCAGTACTTGCAATAGCATTATCCTTTTGTATGTCACTTTTTATTTCGATGACTACACTTAAGTTAGTCGTGAACTGAACTTATCGGCTTAAACCCGAGATTGGCTCCGCACTTGGCGATTTCTGAACTCTCTCGTTTTTCGCCGAAGCTTTTAAGAAACCTTGGTTCCTGTCCTAGACATCTTTAATTGGCCAAGCTGTTTTCAGGCTTTAACCAATTGAATTGCAACGCCTACTCCTTTCGTTCGTAACTTTCTCTGCAGACTGTGGCTGCAATGTGTCGAGGACGATCTTCTCAGTTGCTAGTGATGCAGCCGGGATTTCTTTTGGACCCTACTTTATTACTTTCATGTGTTGATCCCTCGATTCTTCTGCGTACAGGCCCTTGGGAACCTAGAATTTACGACGCTCGCAATTTTAGTCGTTCTACTACTACTCGAGTGCGAACAAAGTTGTTCTACGCACCCAAAAGAACAAAATCTTGGATGGACGCGTGAGTCGTAAATCGTGCTAACTTTTTTTTTTGTGCTAGTCGCTACACTCGTATTAAAAATTTATTAATAATTTCGAATGTTCGCGTGTCTAAAGCTTGGGCAAAAAATTTCAAGTATTTTACGTTCACGTAATAAAGATGAAGGATGTATCTCCGGCGGACTTTAATAAAGATCTTGGAACATCTGCTTTATCGAAATTTAATCGTTCCACGTAGAAGCGTAATGAAAGATTGAAACTTCTTTTCAACTTTTATTCCGTCCGTGTTATTTTAATCCCTGTTAAAAAATGGACGACGCACGTTGCATAAGACGCACGGTTTAATAAAAATTCTGTATCATTCTATCCTCTGCATCTTGGTAGAACTTTTAAACGGCGATTGTTATCTCTCTTGTTTGCGAAACGATGCACTAGAGACAGCGGAGAAACAGCTCTGGAACTTTGCATTTCGAATGATCATAAAGCTAACCGTTTACGATCTTAAATATCACACGCGTGTTCTCCCGTAGCATAAACTGCATCCTGGTGGTCGTGATCGAAATTCGAAGGTGTTTTTCAGTACTGCTCCATTCGTCGAGGCCACGGAGCACACGAGAGTGCAAGCTGTCAGATAATACCGAATTGCGTAGATCCGACGTGGAGGAATTGACGAGACCGAGCTGTTCCTACCTTGATAACAGTCTGCGAGTGAGCGAGCCTGCTCGAAGAAAACGACCGCCAGCGAAGGGAAGAGCGCAGATGAATAAAGCGAAAGCTACGCAGAAAGGAGGCAACACCATCAGAAGATATCTATCCAAGAGTGACCTGTCTGGCACAGGGCAGTCGAAGAAGTCGAAGGATTTTTTACGCGAGGAATCGGCAGAGGCCAAGGTGCACAAATGGCTGGGCAATCTGGGCAATAACGACGAGCTAGACGAACCGGAGAAAGTTGAAGTCGCGCAGCCTACAGAGTGCGATCTGGACGACACTCTGGCCATATCAGTCTCTCAAAACGACGCGCAGAACCAGGACGAATGTATGGATGTCACGACGAAGAACGACGTTCGAAGACCCTGTTCGAGGAATACGAACAACGAGAGAGAACCGACGGACAAGAGAGGCCGCAGATGGTCCACCGAGATGAGGAATACCACGGACAATCAGCCGTCGGCGATGAACTTCAGCCTGGACGATTCGAGACCAAGCACGTCGGGAGCGATGAGATCGTTGGACGACAGCAAGGAGAGGAACATGGACGTTCACAGAGCGTCTACCTGCGAGATGTTGTCCAACATGCAGAAGAACTGGTCCACCGTGGCGAAGTTTGGTAAAGAGATGCGCACGAGAAAGAAGAAATTGATGTCTCTGAACGTGAGCATCGAGAGCAAGAAGAAATCTCGACGTACGGAGATGAATTTGAACGTCAGCGAGAAAGTCGCCGAGGACAGAGACGAAAGACAAAGGAGAAGAGGAAACGCCACGAACGAGGAATCTGTCAATGGTAAGGAAAGTTTGATAAAAGGGGACTTTGTCCGCGGCGGAGAGGCGTCCCCGAGGGACAGAAAGGAGAGATCGATATCGAAGGAAGTTCCATTGGCCGGTGAATCGTTCGTTATCCAGCTGCAGGAGGGCAGAGTGCCCGTTCAGAGTTTGAAGAGCTGTCAGATAAACGCGATCATCGGTGTAAACGTTGAAACGGACGAATCGAGTAATCGCGAGGAAATGGCGTTTCCTGCGGGCGGACGGGTTGATCCGTTCGACACGCCGTTTCGCGATCGAGACAAAATATTTTCCCAAATGAGTTTACCAGCTAGCGAGCAAACTGAGCCGGATCTGATCGACAAGCCGATTAACAAGAGAAATTGCTGTCCGACGCCGACGATAGAGACGATAGATGTCTCTAGTTCTGCGACCAACTATCAAACGTCCACGCCCCGTCGCAACAGATTGTCGTTAAATAGAAGAAGCGCTGGCGATTCTTCCAGGTCGAATGTTGATTCGAGTATCGCTTTGCAGTCTGTCAGGCGAGACCTGAATCGTCAGCTCGAGATTGAAGACGATGTAGATAAGAGAAGCTCAGAGGGAGTGATTATAACTGAGAAACACAGAGGTCGTCCTATAAATGATAAACCGAGCGGTAGACGAGACGGTGTGTTGGCTGGCAGCTCGAACGAGAAGAACAACACGTCTTCGATCACGTTCACGAAGTTAGGAAAAACTTTCAGGCATTGCAGAAGACGAATCCGCTTCTTATACCTGGGCACAACTAGACAAGAGGCAATTCTAAGCCGTTATCCCGGCTTTCATCCGCAAAAGCCTTGCAATCCGGTTGATATGGTGGATAGCAGCGAGGATTTTGCGATCGAGAGTTACTTGGAGAACAACGATCGAGCCACGGTGAGCGATACGCAGCCAATGGACGAAGAACCAGAGTCTATCGCGGAAGGAAACAATTCATCGAAAATGAAAGGCCCAGTGGGAGTGTTCGAGAACCAAGTGGATGTTGGCGAAGAAAACTCATCCAGAGAAGTTGCGGAAGAAATCGTTCCAGCCGAACAGCCTGTAGTCAGCAATAACTCGGAAGATATAGACATACTCTACGTGTCTCTGAACGAAAGCAGAGTATCGGATTCACCATCTGCCGAGCAGCCTGCTAAATCAAGCAACGCACCGACCAAAGATACAGCGAGGATGATGTCACCGGTAAGAGACACCATGCGATCCCTCTCGTTAGAATCACCGACGGCGATCGACACCCTGCAAACTCAGAGAATAATCCACGAGCCTGGTGAACCGAACAAGGAGAAGAACAGAGCCTCTTCCTCTCGAGGTCTCTCATGCACGTCCGACACGTCCGATTCCTCTTACGTGTTGAGAAGAAGAAGCAAGAAATCGAAC